TCTATTAGTAATTAAATTGAGGTAAGGCCACCATTATTAACGAGCAAATTGCCTATTTATAGTCTACTCGATGTACTAAATAATGGAGATCTCCATCTTCAACTGGTAGGTGCATATCGAACGTATTTGGCGTATTTGTTGTATCACAGTCAAAAAAAATTTTTTAGGCTTTAAAACCTTATAAGGAAAATGAAAAATTTAAGTAAAAAAGTTAACTAACGACTAAAAATCAAGTGATTAACGTTACTACAAATTCACGTGATATAAAATAATGCAAAAGTATGACTTATCTTAAAACCATTAAAAAAACGGAATAAAACGTTATGATAAACATTCATTTTGTACCATGTTTATTAGAAACATTAAAGAATTTGTTATGATAACATGTATTTTATTTATATTTTTGGAAAATATTAAAGAATTTGTTCAGAAATAGCCAAATGATTAAAACTTTTTTATCTCTGCATAGTTTCACAATAAAAAGTTTTAGGCGTGTTAATGTATCATTGGGCTTTTTGAAACGCATTACATAGCACGAAATTATAATTACTTCTATTTAGTATTCTTCAGCTTGTGTTTCACGGTACACCAAGGAAAAATTACATACCGAGTATCTAGATAAGAAAAAAGTCACACCTGGAACTTGCATATTTGCATTCATTCTATATTCATATGGCGTTATACCAATTAACCTCGGCATACTGGCAGAAAATGGTTAACAGGCTATTCGCCAATCTGCTCCATAATTGAGATTACACGTCTCTTACTTTATAATTAGGATTACGTCTTTGTATGCCTATAATTGGGAGAATACACGTCCATTGTGCGAATAACATTATTTTGTTCATGCATGCGCTATTGATCTTGAAAAAAAAACGCGTACTAATTATGTAAAAGGATTATCTAATAGATTCATAATATGTGGAAGTTAAGAAGCATATGAACTCCTTAATAGAACTCCCTAATTATAATGAATAAGGCAGGATGCACAACTTATAGTAACTAAAGCTAAACGGTTAGAATTGTTGGGTGAAGGCATGTGCCATTTCTTTATTTTCCGCCACTTCATCTAAATTAGCATACATTGGGCCCTGATCGATGATTCGAACTTTTTTCGGTTAATGTTCAACAAATAAAAGGTGGAAACCAAATTCCGATATTGTTTACACCATTGATTGTAACATATTTATAGACTTTAATTAGCAATATGTTGTTTATTTAAATCAGAATACATACGTGGAACGGCTGAAATTCAAAAATTTCTTCTATTCATCAATGACCAATATATTATTATATATCATTAATTGTTGTTGTTTTTTTTTACATTATATGGAATAGAGCCTTCAATATAAATAACATGCGAGTTATCAGTCACGTAAAGATCAGTAACATATATCGGGATGATCTGCAACTCGCATACATCCAAACCTTATGCAGTATAGTACTAAAAAGGAAATCCATGATTATTATCTAGTTTCTTATTTGAATCATTGGGAACGCATCGATGTCCATCTATTCACGCATTTTAAAATTACTGAATTAATACTACTATTGAATTGTTTTTATCAGCTAGATTATATTAAGCTCTTAATATCCTATAGTGCATTTTTTACGCAGAATAAAGAGTAAAGCAATGAAAGCAATGTTTTGCCTTATATATATATATATATATATAGCTAAAGATACATTTAGTAAAGTTTAATATTAAAATTGCTAGTTCAATAAATGAATGAACTATAGCAATCCCACTAGTGCATTAAATGCCAAGCCTGATTATATATATGTATGGAATTATTTTACATTGCGCATATTCGAATAAGTGTAAATAATTAATATTTCCGTTTACATCGTTTGCTACTTTATATAACTAACTGTATTCTTGATCAATGCGAATAAGATCCTGCGGTATATTTATTCCCCAATTTATAAATTACAAACATAGTGGCATTTATGCTATAGTTAATTTGAAACAATTACTCGGGTAACTTATTTATTCACTTTAAAGTACTGTACTTTTCAAGAGAATACACCGTTCACTAATAAGAAATCACGATAAAAACTATTTTCAGCTTTAACACACATTAAGGCTAGCAAAAATATTCTCAAACTAATTGACTCTGAAATATGTTACGATTTATACTATTACAACTATATGTACTCAATAAAAAAAACAATTGTTCAAAGGTAATCTACATAAAATGCTAAGTATATTAGGAGTTTCAAAGTTAAAATGCGGAATTCTTATTTTAATTGAAAATGGTGGCGCATTTATTTGGAAATAAGTGATCCGGCAATCTGATCTTATTTTCAACTTGAACGGTAGGTTTATTTTTTATTTTTTTAAAAAGTATGATAATATAAAATATTGATGCCGATGTGACGATAATTATGGCTAAAGCTTCCTGATTTTAAAAATTTTCTAATTTCATGAAACAGAGATCTCCAAACACTCCCATTTCATTTTCCGATTTCAAAATTTTGAAAAACAAATAAGATTCATTTAATTTCAAAATGCGCCACTCATTTATTAACTTTGAAACCCCATTCGGGTATTTTTAAAGGGTTTGGGTCAAAATCTCGACAAACAAAATCTAGACAGGTCATAAGCTCGACCCACCTAGTAGTATCGCCAGTTACGTATAACGGAACTTAAATTTATTTTCGATATTAAAATTAATGGTTAATACAATAATGATGACATTTGATTAATATATGTAAAACAGGGTTGGCAATGGAGCTGCGAATGGAGCCAGTGGAGCTCTGAATGGAGCCAATGGGTACTGATTTTTTGAGCACCATTCACGTAACCATTTAACTCCATTGGCACCATTGCCAACTAATGATGCCTGACGAAACTATTTTCGCACAGACGAATGACGAAACTATAGACAAATGACAAAACTATAGAAGAAACTACAGATGATTGACGATTGATGAAACTAGAGATGGGTTTCATGCATGCTGAGAAAGTGTGGGCTAATTG